CGTCGCCGCCGAAGGACCACGAGCGCCGCGCCGTCGACGCGCGCCGGGTCGCAGTCGGCCGCGGCGCCGCCGTCACCGACGCGGCCGCCGCGGCGCGCGACCTCGTCGAGCTGGTCCGCGAGCGCTCGTCGACGACGCGGAGGAGCGCGAACGCGGCCGCCGGGCCCGGCGCCAGGACGCCGCCGACGCGGAGCCGGCCGCCCTCGACGGCGACCTCGAGCGCGTCGACGCCGTCGCCGCGGAGGACACCTCGACGCCCAACGTCTGGCCGATCTCGAAGAGGGTCTCGACGAGCGGCCCGACGGCCGGCTTCTCCGACGCCGTCGCGAAGCACTCCGCGCTGTCGACGTCGAAGTAGCGGAGGTGGTCCCGGAAGAGCCCGTAGAAGGGCCCGTCGCGGGCGCCGGGCGTGTAGAGGAGCACGACGACGATGGCGTGGTGGTCTCCGTACGCGACCGTGTAGGTCCTGGAGCGCGCCGTCGCGGTCCGCGAGGTAGTCCTGCGGGTTCGTGTCGCCGGCCGCGACGGCGTAGCCGAGCGACGTCGCGAGGCGGTCGAGGAGCCGCGCGTCGCGCCTGGCTCGCGCCGCCGGCGCCGAGGAGCAGCCGCGCGGGGCCTGGCGCAGCGAGGCGCGGAGCTCGCGGGCGTGCCGCGCCAGAAGTCGGGCTCCGCCACGAGGCGGAGCGCCTCGTCGCGGCGCGCGGCGGCGCGCTCGTCGGCGCGGCGCTGGGCTGCGCGGCCCAGCGCGCTGGCTAGGCTGGGAGGCCAATCATACGCCTGTGGCAGAATCAACAACTCGTGAACAACATGGACTTCAAGCACTCGGAAACTGATCTGCAACTCAGACGGTCCGCGGGACCCTGGGCCACTCGCACAAAACCCAGGACCGGAGTCAAGGAGGATGCCGGACCCATAAAGAGCGAAAAAAGTCAAGGTTATAATGTGGATCTCGCGCTGGCACTGCTGGAAGACGCGTCTTTTTTTGGCCCTGGCGAGACTCGACCTGCCGACCGAATCGTGGTCGCGCCCCCCGCGGGCGACGACGCCGAACGCCGCGGCGAGCTCGCGCCGCACGGCGGCGACGTCCGCCTCGCAGTGGAGCCGCTGCGCGACGATCGCGTCGCCGATCGCGAGCGCGCGTTGCCCTCGGCGCGGACGCCCTCGGCGCGGGCGCCGAGCGCGACGGCGACGTCGCCGGTGCCGCGAGCGGGACCCGCCGTGCGCTCCTCGCGCACCCGGAGGCGCTCGCCGAGCGCGGCGGCGCGCCGCGCGTCGTCCGAGTCGTCGCCGCGCCGCGAACCACGCGTCGCTCGATCGGCCCATCGCTGGGCGGCGTCGGCCGGGAGCGCCTCGAGCTCAGGCACTAGTGTTAGGGGAGAGGTGACCTCAGACGGGCCGAGAGCGACGGGGTGCGCCGTCAGACGCGCGTTCGCCGCGTGCCTCGGATCAATAATAGTTCAATGAAATTCGTTTGCCACAAGTGCCGGTCGAGGCGCGCAGGCCGACGAAGAGTGCTGCTAGTATGGCGACCAGGGCGCCATATAAGAAGGGCGAGGATGCGTTGAAGGTCCAGATCCTCGAGAGCGCAGAGAGCGGCGATTACCGCGACTGTTTGGATGTGGCGCAGAACCTTCTAGGGATGAACTACCGCGGCGTGATCCCCAGCGACAATGTCCCCGCCACGCGCCCCGCCACCACCCTGCGGAACATCGGGACCTTCCGGAGGCCGTGGACGGCGTTGCTCACGCGCGCCTACGCGCCCGGCTGCTACGTCTTCATCGGCCGGATCCCGAACGAGCCGTCCGTCTCGCCGCTGCCGGACGCGAGCCGCGACCTGCCCGCCGCGGCGTGGAAATGTACCACAAAGCAAGATCGCACGCTGCCGGGCTTCACGAAGAGGATCGCGGTGTCCGTCTACCCGCTCGAGGCCGGCGGCGAGCCCTACGCGATGCGCGCGACGGTCCTGTTCAGGGATCAGAGTACGGCGCTCGCGTGCTGGAACGAGGGCAAGTCGCTCGTCCAGGTGATCTTCGTCCAACCAACCGCGAGCCGCTATTTGAAGTCGCAGGCAGAGCTCGAGCCGGCCGAGCCCGTCCAGATGGACAGCGGCCTGAAGAAGAAGCTCGCGGCCTGGAAGATCAAGTACTCTTGGATGATCTCCGACGAGGCGACGGGCGCGATGAAGTGCAGCGCGTGCATCGCCGACGGCGGCGTGAAGGGCAACGCGGCGAAGACGTGGTGCGAGCAGGGCTGCTGCCGGTGGACGGAACAGTCCCTGAGCAACCACGAGGGCTCGCGGGCCCACGCCGACGTGCTGGAGCGTGCGGCGGCGGCGGCCGAGGGCGACGACTCCTAAGGCCTGAGGATAGGCGACGCGAGCATGCGCTCAACTGCCTGTCGCCGCGCGGCCCGCCGGAGCGAGGGCCCGTTTTTTGTGCGCTTAAAAGCTCTAGAGTCATTTGCGACGTCGCCCTCGGCGACGCGCGCTTCGACGTCTTCGAGCGCCCCGACGACGACGCCGCCTTTTTGGCGCTGCTGCCGCCCGAAGCCGCGCGGTTGTAACTGACGCCTCCCCAAGTGCAACGCTGCTTCAAGGCCTTCAAGGAACCTGTTTCGGAGATCATCATTGTCGGCGAGTTGTTGCCTTAGGGAAGTGTTGCCTTAGGCCCGAGGCCGAGGCCGACGCGACGTGCGCGTATCGTCCGCGAGCATTGTGCCGACGCACGCCGCCGGTTTCACACCTTAAAAACCCTCCTCGATAACCGGAGCCACCCCGGGATACAAATTCTGGCCCTCGGGACACCATGCGCCTCGAGGAGCTCTCCCTCTTCAAGGCCATGATCGAGGACGGCGAGGCCGGCCGCTTCGACAACGTGCGCGCCGCCGTCGAGGACACGCTCGGCGGCTACTACCGGTGCGCGGCCGACCCCCGCGCCCCCCGCCCCCCGGCGCCCCCCGGCCCGCGCGCGCGCGCGGCGCGACCGTCGGGCCCGCGGCGCGGTCGCGGCCGCGATCGCGCGATCGCGCGTCGCCCCCACGCGCGCCCGCGCAGGGGCGTGCTCCCCATGGTCGGCACGTTCACGGAGGGCCGCGCGCTGCCCGTCAAGTCCGCGCGGACGCCGATCAAGACGCTGCGCATGGCGCTGCTCCCCGGCTGGTACGTGCTCTACGGCAAGCACCCGGCGGCGCTCCGCGACGTCGACCCCGAGGACGAGGCCGACGTCGACGGCCTCGAGTCGTGCCGCTGGAAGACGGCGAGCGGGAACCAGAGCCGCGACGTCTGGAACGTCGGCGTCGAGAAGAAGTACTACGACGCCGCGGAGTCGCACCTCCTCCAGAACAAGTTCCGCGCGCGCGGGACCGTCTTCAGCCGCATCGAGGACGAGGCGAGCCGCCTCTGGCGCGCCGGCGGCGCCATCATCATGATCCTCGTCGTCTCGCGCCGCGAGGCGCGGCTCAAGGTCGACGCGAAGGACGCGCCGGCCGCCGGCGCGCCCGCGCCCTGGGCGCCGCCGGCCTTCGGCGGACCCGCCTACGCGCCCGGCGCCGCCGCCTACGCGCCGCCCGGCGCCGCCGCCGCCTACGCGCCGCCCGGCGCCGCCGCCCGCGCGCCGCCGCCGCCGGCCGCCGCCGCCTACGCGCCCGAGGCCTACGCGCCGCCGCCGCCGGCCGACGACGGCGGCCCGGCCGCGAAGCGCGCGCGCGCCGCGGGCGGCGGCGGCGACGACAGCGACGAGGACCCGAGCGCCCGGGCCCTCGACGCGCCGCCGCCGCAGATGCCGCCGGCGCTCACCCGCAACCTCGAGGGCGGCGATCGCGGCGCGACCGCGGCCTGAGCGCCGACGCCCCGGCGGGTCGACGGGCGGGCAGCCGAGCATCGCCAACCACGCGCCAGAGACCCCCCTGTACCCCCCTGCTGTACCCCCCGAAGATCCCCGCCTGCAAATCGTGAACATAATGTCCTTGAGTCTGAGTTTCGCCGGGTACCGGTCGTAAAGCGCGTCGCGTGGCACGATCGCTGTTCAGACCACACGGGGGTTCGCGGGCCGGGACGCGCGAAGGCGCCGCCGGGTGGACTGCGAGGGACTGATCTAGGCGCGCGAACGCGCGCATGTTGAAGTGCAAATTGCCGTCCGACAGCAAGCGACGCTGTCGACGACCTTCGCTTACGTCGACCCCACGCCGCGCCCCTGGCCTCTAGTTCCAAATTCGAGGACTCTCACGCTCCGTGACCCCGTCCTTCTGCAGGACGCTCATACCGGGAAACCCCGGATTCGTCGACGCCGACACCAATTTCTGCGCCGAAAGAAATCGAGCAGTAGGCGAGCCCCCGCGTCTCTTCAACGCCCCACGCCGAGGCCTCGAGGCGTCGTCGAGACCTCGGCGCTCTGCTTCGAGGACTTGGCCCACGCCCCCCGCGACGGCCCGCCCGCCGGCTCGTCGTAACGCGATCCCGCCGACCGCCGACGCCCTCGCCCGCCGACCGCCGCCCCCACATCGCCGCCGCCCCGATCGCCGACGCCCTCGCCCGCAGGCGCGTCGTCATGATCCCGCGCCTCGTCTACTCGCTCCTCTCGCTCTGCTCGCTCGCGGCGACGACCACTAGTGCTACTACGACCGACAGCTCCTACTACTTCCATGCCGTAGCCCCTCTTGCCAGGTGCATCACGTGGCGCCTTTCGCGACCTTGCGAGCCTTGGCCTTGCCGCACGTGTGGCGCACGTGGCGGCCGCGGCACGCGGGGCACGCGCCCGCCGTCCCGGGCCGTTTTGCAGCAACCTTGCCGCACGTGTGGCGCACGTGGCGGCCGCGGCACGCGGGGCACGGGCCCGCCGGCACCGAAGGCGGCGGCGTCCGTTCGTCCGCCGTCGCCGGCGGCGCCCGTTCGTCCGCTGGCGCCGGCGGCGTCCGTTCGTCCGCCGGCGCCGCCGCGACGGCGGCCCCGCCGCCGATGGCGCGGCCGCCGCCGAGGCGCACGAGGAGCGCGCGCGGCGGCGGCTTCGCCGCGGCGACGGCCGCCGGGACCGCGGACGCGGCGATGAAGCAGCCGTCGTCGCCGTCGGACTCCCAGACGACGCTCCGGTCGTCGTCGTCGCCGGGCGCGGGCGCGCGCGCGCCGGCGCCCGCGGGCGGCTGGCTCGACCGGCCCTCGCGGCGCGACACGTAGGCGACGGCGACCATGGGCCCGCCGCGGGCCCAGACGGCCGCGGCGTCGGCCTCGACCCGCGTGAAGACGGTCGCGCGCGCGCGGAACGTGCCGTTGATGAGGTAGCTGTCCGCCGCGTCGTAGTAGCGCCGGTCGACGCCGCGCTTCGAGCCCTGGGGCCCGCTCGACGTCCGCCAGTGGCACGGCGCGAGCTGGCGCGCGTCCGCGAGGTCCTCGGCGTCGAGTGTGTCGCGCTGCAACGGGTGGGCGCCGTGGAGGACGTACCAGCCCGTCGGGTAGGCGCGGCACATGGTCTTGACCTGTGTGGAAATCAAACAGTGAGCTGGGCTATCCCGACCAAACTTCAGAACTCTCGAGCTCGGTCGAATCGAAGTCGATTCGGCTGATTTTTGGACGAATCGATCGCTCTCGTCGAGTTCTCGACGCACGACGGAAGAGCGCGCGTCGAACCGTTCGAGTACGCGCACCTCGTTGGAGATTTGATTTCCACGCGCGGTCTCGACGGGGCTCCGCGACGTCTTCGGCGGGAGCGCGCCGGCCACGAATCCGCCGACCATGGGGAGCACGCCGCGGTAGCAGCCCCCGAGCGTGTCCTCGACGGCGAGGCGCACCAGGTCGAAGCGCCCGTGCTCGCCGTCGGCGATCATGTCCCCGAAGAGGCCGAGCTCCTCGTGGCGGACCATCGCGCGCGGCGCGCGCGGCGGACCGCGCGGGCGGCGTGGGGGACGGGAGAGAGCGGGGCGGGCGGAGGGACGGCGGCAGGGAGCGGGAGGCGGACGGCGCGACGACGAGGGCGAAGCGGGCGGCGGCGAGACCGTCGAGGCGTGGCGGCGAGCACTTCGCTTGTGAAAGCAGGGCTTGCCGAGGGCCGGTTTTGGGGCGACGAGACCGTCGGGCACGCGTCACGGGCGGGCGCGGGCGCGGGGGGCGGCGTCGCACACCTCACGGCGTGAAGGCTCGTTTGTGTCTAGTCGCTCTGATCGTGCCACGCCTTGGACATCAAGCTCTGGGAGGTGTGAAACCAACAAGGTGACTTAGAGCTACAAGGGTGCCTTGCAGGAGGCCTCGCGGCGGAGAAGTCAGGGGAGCGACCCGGGAGGGGGCGCGCCCAGAGAGAGGCTTCGAGCGGACGCCTCTCTCGGGCCGTGAGTCGGGCCGAATGTTCGATCGCCGTCCCGCGCGCGCGTCCGGGCCCCCCCCGCGAGCCCGCGGCGACGACGAGGGCGCGTCCTTAGACCGGGACGGCGAAGGGCCGGAGGCGCTGCTCGAGGGACGGCGGCACGCGCGCGACGATGCGCGTGCCCTGGGCGAGGTGCTCGACCTCGTCGACGGTCGCCGTGCGGTGGATCTCCTCGACGAGCGTGCCCTGGTCGAAGGGGAGGAGGCAGTGGACCTTCGCGTTCATCTTGCCGAGCGCCGCGTCGACGTAGCCGAGGAGGGGCCGGATGCCCGTGCCGTCCTGGCAGGACACGCGGACCTCGTCGGCCTCCGGCGGCATGAGGTCGAGGAGCGTCGTCGCGGACGCGACGTCGTCACCAGGCGGCGCCGGTGCGCCGCCGACGCGGTCCTGCTTGTTGTAGACCGTGATCTGGGGCATGTCGAAGCAGTCGAGCTCGTGGAGGATGGCGTAGACCGCGCGCATCTGGCCGTCGGCGAGCGGCGACGACGCGTCGACGACGTGGACGAGCAAACAGGCGTCCGCCTGTGTGGAATTCAACCGCTGGTTTGGGCGGTCCTGACCAAACTTCAGAATTCTCTAGCTCGGTCAAATCGAAGTCGATTCGGCTGAATTTTGGACGAATCGATTGCTCTCGTCGAGTTCTCGAAGCACAGCAGAAAACCTCGCGTCGAAACATTCGCGTACGCTCACATTGGAGTCGAGTTGAAGATTTGAATTCGGCACAGGCGTCCGCGATCTCCTCGAGCGTCGCGCGGAACGACGCGACGAGCTTCGTCGGCAGCTTCTGGATGAAGCCGACCGTGTCCGTGAGCTTGCAGGCGCGGCCGCTCGGGAGCGTGACGCGCCGCGTCGCCGGGTCCAGCGTCGCGAACAAGCGGTCGTCCGCGTAGAGCGGCGCGGCTTCGCTCAGCGCGTTGAGCAGCGACGTCTTGCCCGCGTTCGTGTAGCCGATGAGGGCCACGAGGGGCAGGTCCTCCTTGTCGAGCTTCTTCGACCGCGCGACGGCGCGCTTCGACGCGATCGCGCCGAGCTCCGCCTTGAGCTTGGCGATGCGCTTCCCGAAGAGCCGCCGGTCCATCTCCAACTGCGACTCGCCCGCGCCGCGGAGGTAGGCGCCGCCGCCGGCGCCGCGGCCGCCGCTCTTGGCGTCCGTCCCCGCGGCGGCGCCCGTGAGGAACGTCGTGAGCCGCGGGAGCATGTACTCCGCGCGCGCCAACGCGATCTGCGCCTTGGCTTCCCGGGTCTGCGCGCGCTCGCTGAAGATCTGGAGCACGAGCTGCGTCCGGTCCAGGATCTGGACTTTGTCGTCGCAGCCGGCCTCCGCGAGCACGGCGAGCACGCTCCGCTGCTGCGCGAGCGACAGCTCGTCGTCGAAGACGACCGCGTCGGCTCCGTGGTCCAGCACCTTCCGCGCGACCTCCTCGATCTTGCCCTTGCCCACGAGGTACTGGCCGTTGGCGGCGTCGGCCCGCTGGAACGTGGCGTCCACGGCCCGCACGCGCGCCGTCTCGCAGAGCCGCGCCAGTTCTGCCAATGAGTCCGCGACGGTCCACGCCGCGCCGCCGGACGCGGCGAGCGACGCGGCGTACGACGACTTCGCGCCGCGGCCCCGCTGCTCCGCGAGCTTCGCGGCGCCCCGCCGGCTCGTCAGCTCCAGGCCCACGAGCACGGCCGACGGCCAGAGCGTCGCGTTGAAGTAGGCCTGCGCGGCCGCGACCTCGGACGCGTCGAGCGCGTCGTACGCGCCGTTGCGCTCCGAGCCGGCGAACGCCTGCTCCTGGAGGAGCTCCGCGGCGTTGTAGGCGTCCTCGGCCGCGGCGACGCCGCGCAGCTTCGCCCGGTCCTCGGGCTCGAGCTCCAGGGACCCGCCCTTGCGCCGCGCGGAGTTGCGCGCGGGGGTTTCCTCCTCCGCGGCCGCCGCGGGCGCGGCGCGGCCGCCGCGCCGCGCGGCGATCTTCTGCTTCGCCGACGGCTTCTTCGCCGGCGCGTCGTCGCCGGCGCCCGCGGCGCTTTCCGCGGCCGGGGCCTTCTTCGGCCGCGCCAGCGCCGCCGCCGCGAGCTTCGCCGCCGCCTTCGCCGACATGCCCTCGCCGCTCTCCGGCGCCGGCGGCCGCGGCGACCCGCCCTTGCCCTTCTTCGCGAAGCACGGCGCGAACGGGACGCGCGCCGGCGCCTGGAGCGGGACGAGCGCGCTCGCAGCGACGGCCAGCGCGACCATGAGGCCCGGCCGCACCATGTTTCGAGCTGAGAGCTGATGAGATGAGACTGCACCTCTCTAGTGTTGCAGAGCATGTTGGCCCGCCGACGGAGGCCTCGACGGCCACCTGCGACATAATCGGGCTACGCCACTTTACCAGCGGAACGTCGCGCAGCTAAAGGTCGGGTCCGGCGCGCCGTGCCGCGCCGCGCAGGCGGCGACGGCGGCGGCGGGGTCCTCCGCGGGCCAGCGCGCGTCCGCCGAGAGGCCCGCGGCGTGGACGCCGCTCTCGACGACGAAGAGCGACGCGACGCCCGCCGCGGCGGCGCCGGCGACGTCGTGGCAGAGCGAGTCGCCGACGTGGATGATCCTGGCGTCGGCGGCCGCGCCCGCGGCCGCGATCGCGGCGCGGAAGTGGTCGGGGTGGGGTTTCCCGAACTCGACGACAGTCCCTCCCAAGCGCCGGTACTCGTCGCAGATCGTGCCGGGCATGAATAATGCCGTCTCGCCGTCGGTGTCGATCGATTTCTGGTCCGGGTTCGCGCAGTACATCGGAAGGTCCCGCGCTCTCGCGGCCCGGAGCGTAGACGCGTAGGGTCCGAGGTCGCCGGACGAGCGGAAGCCCGTCGCGACGCCGTCGTTGACCGTGTCCGGCCCATAAGCCACGACCACGTCCGCCGCCTCGACGGGGGCGAGGTCCACGCCCGTGCCCTCCAGGTACGCCGCGGCGCCGCGGTCCGCCCAGCCGAGGACGACGGCGCTGGACCCGGCCGGCAGGGCCGCGAGCGCCCCGTGGCAGACCTCGCCGGAGCAGACGGCGCCCGCGAGCCACGCGGCGTCGAAGCCCCGGCCCGGCAGCTCGTCGACGAGCGCTTTCCGCCGCTTCGACGTGTTCGACAGGACCACGAGCCGCTTGCCGGCGGCGTGCAGTTTCGCGAGCGCGTCTCGCGCGGCGGGGAACAGCGCCGCGCCGTTGTGCAGGACGCCGTACTGGTCCAGCAGGAACACGTCGTAGTCGTCGACGAGGTCCCCGAGGCCGGAGACGGAGGACGCGGCGCGGCGCAGCGTCGAGCGGTGGCGCCTTGGCGCCACGCTGCCGCAGCGCTGCGACAGCGTCGCGCCTTGGCGCCACGGCGCCACGCTGCCGCAGCGCTGCGACGTCGTCGCGCCGCGCTGGAAAGCCTGAGCCATCGTCGCGACCGTCACGAGGGTGCGCGCTGCCCAGGTCGCAGCCATCAGAGCTCGATGCTCGGATGTTGATCAAGATGCCGCTGACCGTGCCCGCCGGGCTAAAAAATCAAGGGGTAATAAATAGTATGGGGTGGCAGCTCAACGAGATTATGTTGCGCGAGCTCCTCGTACTGCAACCCATCGTTTTGGGGCAATGTTGACGACTTTTGGCCGGGGACTTTTCGACGCCGCCGTCGTCGACGCGGCCCCAGACGGACCGCAGCGGTATTCGCTCCCCCGCGAAGGCGCCCGCGACAAGACTTACGCGTCCGGGCGGTTCGGGTCCGGTGGAAGGAAACCGAGGCGCGCTGGAGGGCACCGTGTCCGGTTTGGCGCCACGCGAGGAAGGGGGTTTTGGGGCAGCTCTTGGACGTGTTCGCGATGATGATGGTCGTGGACCGTCTGCTGGCGCTGCAGAGCCCTTCGTTGGTACCTATGGATGGGCTCGAGCATCTCAGGACACGAAAAGTTCTCGACCTCGAATGCCC